TACGCCTCTCTGCGCGGCGGCGCCCGAGTCTCCAGTTAGTCAGAATCTACAACACAATGCCTCCCCAGTGATCTACCCTCTCCCTGATTTACAACAGCGTCAGCGCTACTTGTCTGCCGAGAATGGTGACTCTGTTCAGCGACCGCAATACCAGAAGCAGGTGTTTGTCATGCAGCACCAACATGTGACATTTCGTTCGGCATCCTTTTCATACCATGTCTCTCAAAACATGAAACCAGACCAAATGGGAGCCCAGCAGTGCACACCGTTCTCTTGTTTCTCCTGTACTCAACAGAGCAGCTATGCCCAAAATGATGAAGTCTCCTGTTCCCTAAGTGAACCACTCGCATGCAACCCTGGTGGCGAACAAGTTGAGATTCTTTCCCAGCTGCCTTTCAAACAGCCTCTGGAAGAGGCTGCTTTCCGTGAAGATGTAACCGGGATTGTCGAGCAGACAGGATGCGTGCCGAGTGGTGACGGACAGTTGGCAACCGGCAGGTGGGGCACCTACAGCGAACGAGCCTACCAGAACGGCGCTGATCAGGAGTTATGCTCGCCACCGCTTTGGTACCCCGACAGACCGCTCTCACCGCTTAAGACGCCCGATTCTGGATATTTCGATAGTGGACACAGCCAGTGGTCATCCGTTCCTGGGACCCTCTCGCCAGTACCTGATGTAAAAACAGACTGGCCCGTGTTTGGTTGACTTTGCTGCCAGCTAAATTATGGAACTTCGTTTGATAAGGGGGAACACAGCTTCATGAACCTTATTTAAAGCAGGGAGGAGCCCTGTTGACTTTTGAGACTAAAACCCGATCTACTGTCCTAAAGACCTTATTTCTAGCTTCTTAGACCTATGTCTGTTCAACGTTATTTTGCACACAAGTAAAGCTCTTGAAAGTAAATGTGTTTGCTTCAGTTACATGAGGTCTGGGGCACATTTGGATAACAATGCTCTCCTAAATCCAAGGCATAACATGAACAGTTTAGCTGTGTACACAAGTTTCGTATTTAAATGTGTGCATTTAGACGCCGTGGCAAAGAATAGGACTGTGAAATACTGCAAGAAATGTACTTACTACCATAGTAAAGTGACATTTTAACCATTCATGCATCAAGCAACCCACGTTTCTACCAGTCTCTCTGAATAAAGCGCGAACTCGCCCCTGAAAAGAAACTGGCACTTCGGTGGATGCTATCATTACGTCGGCCCCTCCGTGGCAACGGTCATATTAGCAGGTAAAAATACTTAGGCCGAAAAAGGATCTAATAATTTGTGAGTGCTCATGGAAGCTAAAGTAGGGTACGACCCACCGTTCTTTATAGTGTTTGTGGCAGTTCCAGCAGATTCTGTAGACAGTAAGCCTCAACCGCGAACGGTGTAACGTTAGGCTATATCGTGGGAGAACTGTTTAATGCTGATTTTAGTGACCGGCTATGTACTGAACCGAGAAGAGAATACGATTTTTTGAAAAGTGAACATGCGTTAGAAGTGGTTTCAGTTCCATGAACACAAATGGCCATCCCCCAATGAAGCAGGCAGTGAAAGGGGGGCGAACACTAACTACTCCTTTTAGCAATACTATAAAGGATACGAAAGCAAATGCTAAACTAACTGGAGTAGGCATTCTCTTAAGCGCAGACGTTTCACAATCATAAATCAAAAATGAGAAACTTTGAAAATATTAGAGAAAAGCTAGGTCGGGTAATAATTCTCAGACAAAAGTGACGCCGAAAGGCAACCTATAAAAAGGGGGGAGAATCAAAACGCAAACGAAACTACCCCTCCGTTCATACAAAATTCGGAATAACTCTAAAGACCGTCCCAAATGTATCGAAAAAATGTTTAAAACTACTGATAATCCCGTATAACGTGAAAGAGGACATGCACTGAAATTAGTTGGAAACAAATTAGAAGCAACGACGTTAAACAGAAAATGGAAATATTGCACGTTTTGGATTTGTGTTATAAAGGAAGAACTTGTGAGGTATGAAAGTTAAGACGCAGTCAGGTAGAGGACTAAAGCAAAGGGGAAAATATTAATAAGAATGCACCTCTGTCCGCCGAGAATGCATTAATGCCCACAAAAGTTCGTGTACTTTGGTGGAATACGGAAAACTATTTGCTAGAGTATATAAATTCTTTTGTCAAAATAAATATTCCATCTTGTATGAATTGTATTATATAGGCAAAACGTGTGCTTCTGGCATATTAGTACTGCGCGTCGAGAGCAAAAAGGTCGCAAAAGGCGTCCATAGATCAGCAAAGTGAGATATGGTAGGAAAACGCGATCACAGGTATGCCACTTACCCTGCACGTTAACGTTAATACGGTCTTCATGTTAGAGGGCGAAGAGACTTGCAACTAAGCATTTTTGGAACTCCTGTTTTGCTGTCTCGCATGATTGAGGTAAACAAAAAAGCGATTAGGAAGCAAATTATATTTCCTCACGTAAACATTCCTCACGGAAATTAATGTCGATCACACGCGAGATCGCAAGTCTGGTGTACGAAAGCAGCAGCGTAGCAGATCACCTCGGTATATATGAATGCCAAGGGTACTTTTCTTTAATAAAACATACAGTACGTGTGCTAAATCATGAAATGTCAACCGAAATTCCGAAATGCGCTTTCGTTTCGAAAAGATCAATTAAGTATGGGCGTATAACTTATCATCATGCAGCATAATTCTGTAATAATTCAGCTACCTCAGGGTGCCGGCTTTCGAACGAACTTCTATCTGGCTGCATGCAAAAACGACACTGTAAAATACGATTACTTTTAGAGCATGCATTTTCCTCATTTATTTTCCATACCCTCGAAAATTCAATCATATTTCATGGAAAACACGCATAAAAATACCAATTATTTAGTACATTCGGTAGAAAATAACGTCTTCTTCCAATTTTATACTCGAAGGAAGGGTATAATTCGGTGTTAGAAAATCTTCTGATGTCCGAATAATTTTGAACTCGACCTGCCGTCACACTTGCATTCAGGGTCTTCAAAATACAAGCTGTATATTTTCCGCGCACGGAAAACAATGCATGTCTCTATGGTATTAAGAGGAGACCATATGGGTTTCATAAAATTTAGCAGAGGATTCGAGCCATAGTGTTAATTTTACATGCCACATGGGTTAATGCAGAGACATAACGTTTTATGAACGGCCATTTCACACTAGTGAAAATCTCACAATTAGAAACCGAATTATACCATTTCCTCGAGTATAGAATTGGAAGAAGACGTAATTGTCTACCGAATGCACAAAGGAATCGATGTTTCTACGCATTTTTTCCATGGTATATAATTGAATTTTTAAGGACATCGAAAATTAATGAGAAAAATACATGCTATTTAAGTGGTCGTTTTTTACAGAGTGTGATTTTTGCATGCAGACGGAAGAAGTTCATTCTAAAGCCGGCATCTTGAGATAACTGAATTATCATAGAATAATGCTGTGAAATGATCATTTTTACAACCCTACTTCAGGAATCTTTTCGGGTCGAAAACGCATTTCGGAATTTCGGTTGATATTTCATAAGTTGACACACCTACTGTGTTACAAATAGGAAAGAATTTTACGTACAACTGACTTATATGTCCCCCTTAACAGGGCCTGGGGTTAGGTATTCCCCGCCCAAGTATTAATGGTGAATCTGCACGTAATTCTGGAAACGGCAAAATGCCCCTTGCCCTTAGCTTAACAATAATCTTAATATAAAACTAAATCGTTGCGCTAATCTTGACCCTTACCCTACCCTATACCCTAACTCTGCAGGTAAAACCAGCCCCCACCTTAACCTTAAGCTTCATCCTGACTTATCTTACCGTCAAATTTATACCTAATCTTAAACTTAATCCTTAACCAAATTTGAATCCCAACTTTAGGATTAACTCTAATTTTATTGGTAGTTGGCTCAAAGCCACCCGTACCGCAGGCGGTTCCCGTTCTCGTGTCCTGTTTAGGCCGTCATGGAAGTCAGTCCTACCTTATTTTAGAAAGCAAATTGTGCTAGTAAATAAAATGAACAGCTGCCGCCAACTGCCCACCTGGATTTCGGTCATCATGTTTCGTTCGTTAGGTCATCAACTCTAAAATTCTGGTCTCTCGATGTTTTTAATTTGCAAAGGGCAGATAAAGTATTGAGAGATTAATTTTCATGGGGCCACTGGCTGCTATGCATGCGGAACGAGTCCCGACTAACCCTTACATCGGTAGATTTCATAAATAGGTTTTTTCGTGATACTTTTCACCCTTCCGACCGTGCCCCTGATGAACCTTCTCCGAAGTTGGACATTCCAAAATAGCAGTTTTTCCAACTCCTTTTTGGGGTTTATGTAGCCTGTCCCCCTTTTGCAGTAGGCATGACTTTTGCGAAATGGAAGTTTTTTTACCTCCAACAGACAAAGCAGACGTGGAGGACGATGAAAGGGTCGAGTGATGGTCGTAGTAGTAGTAGTAGTAGTAGTAGTAGTAGTAGCAGTAATAGTGGTAGTAGTAGTAGTAGTAGTAGTAGTAGTAGTAGTAGTAGTATGAGTAGTAGTAGTAGTAATAGCGGTGACAGTTATTCTTGTTTATATTGTTGCGATTGCATATGAAGCTGTCGCAAACACTCCGACCATTGGTGGGGTCTGATTATGGCGGACAATTTTTTTCACAGAACACGTTGTATGTCCGTTATGCTCCAGGTAACCTCAGTACTCTCTTGTCTCAAATGCAAGCAATTGTTTTTCACTACTTGGGCATATTTTAGGCCCAATAAATGAATGTGGAAGGGCGCGTTTTTAGACTTTGACGTCGAAGGCAGCTCGCCGCATACAAGGTGAGGAGTGAACAATCCGGAAACGTTTTTTAAAGTCAAGTTTTGAAATTGGGGAGGTCATACTCTCAGAATACGATCCTAGGTTTCTGTAGACAAGTTGCTGTCGGAGCTGGTATGGGTTAGACACCTCATGTAATACCGAGTGAAGTCGCTTACCTGCCGCCGGGAAGGGAAAAATTTGGGCAGAGGGCACTCCACAACTTGACTGAACACCAGATAACGATAGATTCTACGGTGTGTTCAACGCTGCTGTTGTTGCTGCTGCTGGCGTGGGAAAATGTTACATGCTAAGACGAACGAATGTTGCCAATAAAATAGAAAGCTCGGCACAGTGGCATAGCAAGAATAAATCTCCCCCATCTGCAGCAAAGCCTCAACCTCAACAGGTAGACATGATGATCGCTGTTTTTAGGATTACGCTAAGTTCAATCCACTAAAGTTTACTCATGCTCATTTGTCGCCTGAAAAAATGAACATCCGAGTGCGGTGACCATGACGGCATGCTACAGGTCCAAGTATTTCTGCGTCAAAAGCAATTCGCCTACCAAAAAGCCTGTGAACGAGGAGAAGTGAAAAGAGGATAAATAAGAAAGACAAGAGGAAGAAGAAGATGATGACGACAATGATGCTGATGTTGTTGTTGTTGTTGTTGTTGTTGATGATGATGACGATGATGATGATGATGATGATGATGATGATGATGATGATGATGATGATGATGATGATGATGATGATGATGATGATGATGATGATGATGATGATGATGATGATGATGATGATGATGATGATGATGATGATGATGATGATGATGATGATGATGATGATGATGATCACCACAACGACCACGATCACGACGACGTACGGAGCGAGGAGAATGAGGATGAAGGTGGGGATGAGGAGGGGGAAGAAACAAGTACAGTACCTGAGCTAACTCATGAAATGTCAACTGAAATTCCGAAATGCGTTTTCGTTCCGAAAAGATTCATTAAGTAGGGTTGTAAAAATGATCACTGCACAGCATTATTCTATAATAATTCAGATATCTCAGGAGGCCGGCTTTAGAATGAACTTCTTGCGTCTGCATGCAAAAATCACACTCGGTAAAAAACGACCACTTAAATAACATGTATTTTTCTCATTAATTTGCGATGCCCTTAAAAATTGAATTATATACCATGGAAAAAATGCGTAGAAACATCGATCCCTTTGTGCGTTCGGTAGAAAATTACGTCTTCTTCCAATTCTTTACTCGAGGAAATGGTATAATTCGGTTTCTAATTGTGAGATTTTCACTAGCGTGAAATGGCCGTTCATAAAACGTCATGTCTCTGCATTAACCCATGTGGCATGTAAAATTAACGCTATGGCTCGAATCTACTGCTGAAGTTTATGAATAATTCCTATTCACCCACCTCTGAAAATCTCGGCGCCTCGCGGGTTTCGAACCCACGCAGTAAGGGGAAGGCTTCAGTACAGTCAACGCTCTAACCACTTGTGCTACGAGGCCCCGCCGGGCGACTCGAATCTAATCACAGTTGGGTCAAGATACCCGCCGAAGCTATTGCAGCGTCTGGAATCCACCAAATATGATACAGTAAGTTGACTGCCCAAGCAGGATTTCCTAAGTAATTCACCTAGAATCCACCAGATGTCTGCCAGGCTCACGAAATTCATAGATATTTTGGCAGATTTTGAATAATTACGACGGGGCCTCGTAGCTCAAATCGTTGTGTCGTTGGCTGTACTGAAGCTATCTCACTAATTCGTGGGCTCGATTTCCACCGATGCGCCGACATTTTCATAGGTGGGTCAGTAGGAATTATTTAAAATCTGCCAAAATATCTATGAATTACGTGAGCCTTGTGGTCATCTGGTGGATTCTAGGTGAATTACTTAGGAAATCCTGCTTGGGCAGTCAACTTACTGTATCAGATTTGGTGGATTACAGACGCTGCAATAGCTTCGGCGGGTAACTTGAACCAAATGTGATTAAATTCGAGTCGCCCAGCGGGGCGTCGTAGCACAAGTGGTTAGAGCGTTGGCTGTGCTGAAGCCTTCCCCTTACTGCGTGTGTTCGAATCCCACCGAGACGCCGAGTATTTCACAGGTGGGTGAATAGGAATTATTCAAAATCTGCCAAAATATCTATGAAATTTTTTGAAACCAATATGGTCTCCTCTTATTATTATTGAGAAATGTATTGTTTTCCGTGCGCGGAAAATATACAGCTTGTAATTTGAAGACCCTGAATGCAAGTGTGACGGCAGGTCCAGTTCAAAATTACTCGGGAATCAGAAGATTTTCTAACACCGAATTATACCCTTCCTTCGAGTATAAAATTGGAAGAAGACGCTAGTTTCTACCGAATGAGCTAAAGAATTTGTATTTTTATGCGTGTTTTCCATGAAATATGATTGAATTTTCGAGGGTATCGAAAATAAATGAGGAAAATGCATGCTCTAAAAGTAATCGTATTTTACAGTGTTGTTTTTGCATGCAGCCAGATAGAAGTTCGTTCGAAAGCCGGCACCCTGAGGTAGCTGAATTATTACAGAATTATGCTGCATGATGATAAGTTATACGCCCATACTTAATTGATCTTTTCGAAACGAAAGCGCATTTCGGAATTTCGGTTGACATTCCATGATTTAACCCACGTACTGTGTTTTATTAAAGAAAATTAACCTTGGCACTTATATATACCGAGGTGGTCTCCTACGCTGCTGCTATCGTACACCAGACTTGCGATCTCGCGTGTGATCGACATTAATTTCCGTGAGGAATGTTTTCTTGAGGGAAATGTGGATGTAGTTATGGCCGAGGAGGGTGGCGGCAGCGGGAGAAAACAAGTATGCGATCGCTCACGACAGTTACGTTGCACCCTTGGTGCACTAAAGCTTTGTAACTGTCC